GACGACATACATACAGATGAGGAGGAGGTAAAGAAACTGCTAAGGGACATCGATACCTAAAAAGGCAATGGGACCGGACAACATCTCTCCGTGGGTCCTTAGAGAGGGAGCAGATATGTTGTGCGTACCACTTCCCACAATCTTCAACACATCCCGGGAAAACCCTGGGCAACTACCTGAGGTATGGAAGATGGCAAATGTAGTTCCCTTTTTCCCAAAAAAGGAGACAGAAAAGAGGCACTAAACTATAGACCTGTGTCATTGACGTGTATAGTATGCAAAATTATGGAGAAGATTATCAGGAGGAGAGTGGTGGAGCACCGGAACGGAACAGGAGTATAAATGCCAACCAGCACGGATTCACGGAAGGCAAATCCTGTGTCAAAAAACCTTCTGGAGTTTTATGATAAAATAACAGAAGTAAGACAAGAGAGAGAGGGGTGGGTTGATTGCATCTTCTTGGACTGCAAGAAGGCCTTTGACACAGTTCCTCACAAGAGATTAGTGCAGAACTAGAGCATCAGGCGCATATAACAGGAAGGGCACTCAATGGATCAGAGAATACCTGACAGGGAGGCAACAACGAGTCATGGTACGTAATGATGTATCCACAGTGGGCACCTGTGACGAGCGGGGTCCCACAGGGGTCGGTCTAGGACCAGTGCTATTTTTGGTATATGTGAACGACATGTCGGAAGGGTTAGCTCAGAAGTGTCCCTGTTTGCAGATGAGTGAAGTTAATGAGGAGAATTAAATCTGATGAGGGGCCAGGCAGGACTTCAAAAGAACCTGGACAGACTGGACACCTGGGCCAGCAAAGGCTTCTCGAATTTAATCCTGCCAAATGCAAAGTCATGAAGATAGGGGAAAGGGGACAGAAGACCACAGACAGATATAAAGGTAGGTGGCCAAAGACTGCAAACCTCATTCAAGGAGAAAGATCTTGGGGGTGAGTATAACACCGAGCATGTTCCGGAAGCACACATCAATCAGATAACTGCTGCAGCATATGGGGGCCTGGCAAACCTGAGAACAGCATTCCGACACCTTTAGTAAGGAATCATTCAAGACACCTGTACACCGTGTATGTCAGGCATACTGGGAGTATGCAGCACCTGTTTGGAACCTGCACTTGATAAAGCACGTCAAGAAACTAGAGAAAGTACAAAGGTTTGCAACAAGGTTTTGTTCCAGAGCTAAGGGGAATGTCCTATGAAGAAGATTAAGGGGAAAACGGCCTGACCACACTGGAGGACAGGAGGGGTCAGGGGAGACATGATAACGACATATAAATACTGCGTGGAATAGACAAAGGGGGACAAGGACAGGATGTTCCAGGGAGGGGACACAGAAACAAGAGGCCACAATTGGAAGCTGAAGACACAAATGAGTCAGAGAGATT